TACTACCACCCTCTACCACCATCACAACCACTACCATCCTCTACCACCATCATTACCACCCTCGAACACAATCACTACCACCCTCTACCACAATCACTACCACCCTCTACCACCATCACTACCACCCTCTACCACCATCACTACCACTTTCTACTGACAAGAAACAAAGTCAGACTGACTCAGAACGCCTGGGTGCTTTGTGTGGGTGCAGGCGGACACGTTCAGTATGGCGGACCACTGTCAGATCGACGAAAACCAAGGTGATGAACAAAAACTTACAAAATTTTGATGAAAAAAGTCGTTGAAAACCGAATTTGACAAAAACCAGGGCAAACGAAAACCGAGGTTCCACTATGTTTTTCACCAACTTCAACACATTATAAAATCTTAAGTTTTTATCAGATTCCACTCATTTTAGTTTTAATCTGTTCATAAAAATGCAGTCTTTCATTCTGTGAGGGAAAAAAATCACTTTCCTACACATATAAGAATTTTTTTCTGGATATGCCACAGTTTAAGGGATATGGGCTCCCACCCATTGCTTACAGAGGCATACCTCAAGTGCTGTCAAAAGAGGGCAAGGAAAGAACATAACTTCTCTAACCACATAGTGGCTCTCATGACAAAATCTCTACTCAGTCTCCAACCATAAGCTGTGTTGCTAGGTGTATAGTGTACATAAAATCCATAACAAGCAGCAAAACCGCAGCTCCTGGTGGAGATCCATGTAGAGGCTCTCTAGAGAAAAAAATATGCCCAGTGCAAATCCAGTGATCCTTCCCCCCCAAGTATGATGCAAGAGCACCTTTAAAATGTCTAGCATACAAATGTCAACCAGGAAAGTCTGGCCACAGGATGAGCTGTAGTGTACAGTGGACCCTCGCCTAACGATATTAATCCATTCTGGAGAGCTCAACGTTAGGCGAAATTATCGTTAGGCGAATTCATTTTCCCTGTAAGAAATAATGGAAATCAAATTAATCCGTTCCTCTCACCCCAAAGTATGAAGAAAAAAAAATTTTACCACATGAAATATTAATTTTAATACACACAAACTGAAGAAGACATGCACAGTTACATGACACTTACCTTTATTGAAGATCTGGTGATGATTGATGGGATGGGAGGAGAGTGTGGATGGTGTTAATGTTTAGAAGGGGAATCCCCTTCCATTAGGACTTGAGGTGGCAAGTCCTTTTCCGGGGTTACTTCCCTTCTTTTAATGCCACTAGGACCAGCTTCAGAGTCACTGGACCTCTGTTGCACAACATATCTGTCCATAGAGGCCTGTACCTCCCGTTCCTTTATGACATTCCTAAAGTGTTTCACAACATTGTCAGTGTAATAGTCACCAGCACGGCTTGCAATAGCTGTGTGAGGGTGATTTTCATCAAAAAAGGTTTGCACTTCAAACCACTTTGCACACATTTCCTTAATCTTTGAAGTAGGCAACTTCCTCAATTTCTCTATCCCCTCCTCCAGAGCAGTTTCCTCAGGTCTGGCCTCTTGCTGTTGAAGATGATCTAGCAGCTCATCAGTGGTTAGTTCATCATTGTCCTCCTCCACCAACTCTTCCACATCCTCCCCACTAACCTCCAACCCCAAGGACTTCCCCAATGCCACAGTTGATTCCACAACTGGCGTACGCTTCTCAGGGTTAGCCTCAAATCCTTCAAAATCCCTTTTGTCTACACATTCTGGCCACAGTTTCTTCCAAGCAGAGTTCAAGGTCCTCTTAGTCACTTCCTCCCAAGCCTTACCTATAATGTTTACACAGTTGAGGATGCTAAAATGATCTCTCCAAAACTCTCTTAGAGTCAATTGAGTTTCTGAGGTCACTACAAAGCACCTTTCAAACATAGCTATTGTGTAGAGCTTTTTGAAGTTTGCAATGACCTGCTGGTCCATGGGCTGCAGGAGAGGAGTGGTATTAGGAGGCAAAAACTTGACCTTAATGAAGCTCATTTCCGCAGAAAGTCGCTCTGCCACGTCTGAAGGATGACCAGGAGCATTGTCTAATACCAGGAGGCACTTAAGGTCCAGTTTATTTTCCAGGAGGTAATTTTTCACAGTGGGGGCAAATGCATGGTGTAACCAGTCATAGAAAAAGTCCCTAGTGACCCATGCCTTACTGTTTGCCCTTCATAGCACACACAAATTAGCCTTGAGGACATTGTTTTTCCTGAACCCTCTGGAAGTTTCAGAGTGATACACCAATAAAGGCTTCACTTTGCAATCACCACTAGTATTAGCACACATCAACAGAGTAAGCCTGTCTTTCATAGGCTTATGTCTTGGGAGTGCCTTTTCCTCCTCAGTAATGTAGGTCCTGTTTGGCATTTTCTTCCAAAACAGGCCTGTTTCGTCACAATTAAACACTTGTTCAGGTTTCAGTCCTTCACTGTCTATATACTCCTTGAATTCCTGCACATATTTTTCAGGCGCTTTGTGGTCCGAACTGGCAGCCTCACCATGCCTTATCACACTATGTATGCCACTACGATTCTTAAATCTCTCAAACCAACCTTTGCTGGCCTTAAATTCACTCGCATCACCACTAGTTTCAGGCATTTTTCTAATTAAATCGTCATGCAACTTCCTAGCCTTTTCACATATGATCGCTTGAAAGATGCTATCTCCTGCTATCTGTTATTCATTTATCCACACCAATAAGAGTCTCTCAACATCTTCTATCACTTGCGATCTCTGTTTTGAAAACAAAGTTGCACCTTTGGCAAGAACAGCTTCCTTGATTGCCGTTTTCTTGGCCACAATAATAGCGATGGTTGATTGGGGTTTTGTGTATAACCTGGCCAGCTCGGAGATACGCACTCCACTTTCATACTTAGCAATGATCTCTTTCTTCATATCCATAGTAATTCTCACCCTTTTTCCTGTAGGGTGCAATCACTAAAAAGGCTGTGATAATATGAAATGTTCCGATTGTATGCTTGGATGCAACCGCAGTGGCTGGCTTGTAAACACTGGCACCCACGGACCAAGTGAGGCGGGCTCAGGCCACACGTGGACGCGTCTCGAACGAATCGCATTGAGCGAGTTTTTTAGCGCTAGCCGAGGCAAAATTTTTGCGTTAAAATGTATCGCTAGGAGGATTTAATGTTATGCGATGCCATCGTTAGGCGAGGGTCCATTGTATATCTCTAAACTGATCATATCACAAGTTCAGATGGTTTAAAATATCAGTGAGGAATAGTTAGTGATAAAAGCAAATATTTTCAGACCAAAACCATAATAGGGGGAGCTGGACCTAATTTGGAGCAACAACTCAAAGCTTTTGCATTTTTAGAGACCAGATACAAAATTGGGAAACAATACTAGTTAGGTGATGAAAAAGTGAATTCTTCTAGTGGCTTGATGATTAATCCCAGAAAGAGAACATTAACACTACTAGTGGAAATAATGTAAATCATCTCCAAATTTCAGTTAATGTCTAACAGTACATAAAGTGAGAAACATCTCATCTGGTCATGCATTAAAAAGTAGTCTAGTATGGAAAACCTGCTCAGAGCAATCTCCACCACCATGCTCTGATGCATATGAACATGTGAGCCCCCCTCATCATATATATGTAGGGAATGAGAGGTTTAGGAATTATTATAACTAAGCTAAAGTAAAAAATTTAATTACAGTGGACCCCCAGTTTTCGTCCTTAATCCATTCCAGAAGGTTGGTCGAAATCTGAAATGGACAAAAACCAAAGTAATATTTCCCATAAGAAATAACATAAATCCTATTAATCCATTCCAGACACCCAAAAATATTAAAAAAAATGTATTTTATAAAGAATAACTATAGTTTTGCATACAGAAAACAATGAGAAATAAATATAAATTATTAATTTTAATGGATAAATGAACATATAAATCACTTTTACCTTTATTGAAGAGACTTATTGGCGTATGGAAGATGGCAAGGAGGGGAGAGGGAGGAAAGGTTATGGTTTGGAAAGGGAATCCCCCTCTATAAGGACTTCAGGTATCAAAGCTCTATCCAGGGTTACTTCCCTTCTTTGTCTTTTACTGGCACTAGGAGTCATTGGATCATGCAAACACAGCTTGCAACAACTTTGTTAGGGTGATATTTCTGCACCAACTCTTCCACATCCTAGCTACAATATTTAATGCAGCCCTGAGCCACATTATTACCAGTGACATACCATGTTCACTGAGTTTAGTCATTTCTAACAACTACCTTTAGATGCCATCATAAACAAAGGGAGAAGTAATGAATAATTCTTGCTGAGAATTGTAAACAAAAACGTTATGGATTAAGGGCAGTGACTGGGCCAACACAGATTCATACACGTTTTCTCTGATGCTGGACCAGAGAAAACGTAATGTTTTCCCACTGCCTGACTAGCACACCTCTATAGCATATAAACATTGCATGTTTATATGCTAAGTAATGTGTTTCTTATATAATTTTTAAGAAAATATCATAGATGGATTAATGAAAATGTCTATATTAACCTAAAATAAGACATTTAATATGCCCAAGAGTAATTATTATTACATTTCAGTATTATTATTATGGCATTAAGACTAGAGGGACACTCTTAGTGAATGAGTAACAAAGGCATGTTTATATGCTACGTAACTTGTTTCTTATATGCTTTTGAAGAAAATATCATAGATGGATTAATGAAAATGTCTATATTAACCTAAAATAAGACATTTAATGTGCCCAAGAGTGATTATTATTAGTATTAGTATCACGAACATATGAACGACCCAGGTGGACGCGTCTGATACGGATGATTTCCGAGCAAATGTACAAAAGTCGGGGTAAAAATTCGCCGAAAAAAAGTGGTTGAAATCCGAATTGTACGATATCCAGACCGGATGAAAACTGGGGGTCCACTGTACTAGTATTCTTATGTAATATATGGAATTAATGAGTCGGGAGATTCATTATTCAATTTTTTATACATACATGTATCTTGCTTCATTTATTAAATATATTTAATATCATTTACATAGGTACTGCATGTACAACAGTGGTGACACGTCCAACGATAAAAACAACTCCAAGTTCCAACATAAGCACCGTTACCACTACCACTACACAAAATCCCAGTGCCTGTCGTGATACAGAGTTTGCATGTGATGACATACTGCATACCTGTATTCCATCTCTACTTCTCTGTGATGGGATCTCAGATTGTCCAAATGATGGTGACGAGAACCTTTGCCCAGGTATAATGTACAGTATATTTAATGATTTATTTTCCTTTATTTTGTTTATATATATAATGGTATAAAATAGTAGCATAGTGGTAAGAGATATACACGTGCAGTATATTGTGATCCGTTATTGACTATGTTTTGCCAGTGCAGTGGGTTTTATCAGGTTACAAACAGATGACTTGATAACTCCCACTGCATGTGTCAGACATCATCCACTACATGTGTCAAACATCATACACTGCATGTGTTAAACATCATCCACAGAGGATAGCATTATACTGCATTTGTCTCTTTTTATCCTCCTCCCTTTTCTGAGAATACAATATATTTGCTATTAGGGTGAGTTACTAATCAAGACATGATCAGTGTAAATAAAATATAATAATAAAGCATGGCTTGAGGATGCATTTTTACTTAGAACATTTAATTAAGCAGTAAATCTGTGTAGGTCATTCAGCATGAGTGGTGGTATGGTTGATCCTCCATTAACTATTTAGTCTTGGTCTCTGACCTGTCAGGCTGTTAGTGATCAAGCCTTCACCTCTCCTTGCACTGAATGATCTACAGTTTTATCATACATATTTATGTATATTTTCTGAGAACTCAGATTTTCATTTCTTTTATATTACAATGCAGAGAAGACCCCTTGTGACCCTGGGTTCTTCTACTGTGCTGACCGCTTTATGGAGATTCCATGTATGAGGGTGTCTAACTTGTGTGATGGAAAGGTACAGTGCCTAGCTTACAAAGCTGATGAGTCTCTTTGTGGACAGTGTCCTGACTACTACTGCCAAAATAATGGGGACTGTGCTGCTGTAAATGGAGATGCCCCTGTCTGCAGGTATGTCTGTTCTTAAGTAGAATTACATTTTTAATATTATAATAAGGGCAGATAAGATACTTTGGTTTTACAGATTCTGTTGTAGTTAGTACTTGGTTAGTAGATATTAACTACCCTGGATGGTACTATTGTCTTCTCATAAGAGCCTGAAAAAGAAATCTATTAAATGTTTTACATTGGCACAGTTGTTGGTGTTTTAGGTGAAACACCTAATACAGTGTTTAGAGAATGGAAAGCATCCAGGTTTGGTCCAAGGAAGAGGACAATTCCTTGGCTCAAGAGCCCTTCAGTAGCATTAAGGAACCTGTCTTGAGGGATTATATAGTTACAGATAGGGCTGTCAAAGAAGCGAATCTGATTCAAAGTGGAAGTTCTCATAGTTGGTCTTTTCCAGAGACAGTTTTATTGGTAGATTATTAACCCTTTGACTGTCGCAACCTCAAATCCTGAAGTGTCTATTGGTGTTGAAAAATTAAAAAAAAAAAAAAAAAAAAAATTCTTATGAAATGATAAGAGAATCTTTTCCCGATGGTAATGACACCAAAAGTACGAAATTTGATTGAAAACTTACATAATTACACTCCCGTGAAGTTAGCGATCTCAGCGATATATATGCATTGGCGATTTCGCCGACTTTGAGCCCTATTTTCGGCCAATTCCATTGTTCCAGTCGACCAAACTCATAGCTATTTCTTTAGAGCTCCATTTTTTTTTCTATCAATTGAGTACAAGAAACTGCCCATTTACTGATTTCAACTACCCAATAAAGTGGTCAGAAATTGACAATTTGGCCAATTTCACGCAAATTAAAAAAATATGCCAATTTCAAAATAGGGTCCAGAATAAACAATGTAGACATTCTTGGCACTAAAATAACATATCCTCTGTTCAGTAGTCATGTCTCCAGGCCCCTCTTATATTACTCTTGCTTTCTATTTTCATTTTTTATTCACACCAAAATAGAAGATTTACTGTTATGCAGACTACTGCATTATTGTAAAAATGGTATAAATAATATCAGTGCACTAGCGAAAGAATATTAGACTCCCCAGTGAACATGTATTGGACGTGTGGTGTGATTTGCTTACTTTTGAACATTGGTAAAAATCGAACATTTCCGCTACTTTGAGTTCAACTTCAAGGTCGTTTTCATTGTGAAACTAATCAAAATCATCTCTATTTCTGTAACATGTTTTCCATTCTATCAAATAAGACCAAGAAAACGAGAATACACCCATAAATACTATGGGAAAATACACCTCAAAGTCAGCGTTTTAATCCAAAAACATAGTCGGAGTTTTTTTCCTCTCATTTATGCACTGCGTGCTGCAGGATTTTTTTTTATACAGTGCACACTGACCACACAGACCCATTCTCTCACATGTGGGCCTACCAGCTTTCTCCTGCCTGATTTGAAGCCACCAGAATTATTGAGTATATGTACGTCCGAAACACTGGCTCGTAAGATGTATATACACGGCCGAAACAGTCAAAGGGTTAGGAGGAGGAGTTTGACAGAGCATGTAAAAGTAACAAAAAGTTTGTGCCGTGCAAAACTTGATATACGTACATTATTAGATTCAAGGGAGTATGGAGGAAGTGAATGTATTTATATATTTGGGAGTAGCCATGTCAGTAGATGGGTCTATGAAAGATGAGGTGAACTAAAAAAGAAATGGTAGATGGAGTATTTATAGAAGCAAACAAAGGGAAATATACCAGAGACTGTATGCAGCTTCAGAGTCACATTGAGAGTAGCATGTTGTGAAAATTGCGCAGATAATTTAGAGTGGAAAATCTTCCCGCTCCTGCACCCAACATCTTGCTCCTGGGGGATTTCAACTTAAGGCACCTAAAATGGAGGAATATAGCAAATAATATTGTTGCAGTAATAACACCAGGAGGCAGCTCTGATGAAAACTCACACTCACACGAGCTTTTAAATCTCTGCACAAAATTCAATTTAAACCAGCAAATAATAGAGCCTACTAGACTGGAGAATACACTAGACCTCATCTTCACTAACAATGATGATCTGATAAAAAATGTCATCATATCAAAAACAATATACTCAGATCACAACATAATTGAGGTTCAGACATGTATACGTGGAGCCCCAGAACGACATAATGAGATTAGTCACGAGGGAGCATTCACCAAATTCAACTTCAATAACAAAAACATAAAGTGGGACCAAGTAAACCAAGTCCTAACCGATATAAGCTGGGAAGATATACTAAGCAACACAGACCCCAACTTATGCCTAGAACAGATTAACTTGGTGGCACTCGATGTATATACAAGGCTTATTCCTCAAAGAAAAAGGAGGAGTAGATGTAAAATAGAAAGAGACAGGCGCTCCCTTTACAGGCGACAGAAAAGAATAACAGAGCGGCTAAAAGAGGTTAATATATCTGAAATGCGTAGGGAGACACTGGTCAGAGAAATAGCAAGCATTGAACTTAAGCTAAAGGAATCTTATAGGAGTCAGGAATTGCGGGAAGAACTAAAAGCCATAAATGAAATCGAAAGAAATCCAAAGTATTTCTTCTCCTATGCCAAATCAAAGTCGAGAACAGCGTCCAGTATTGGGCCCCTACTTAAACAAGATGGGTCCTACACAGATGACAGCAAGGAAATGAGTGAGCTACTCAAGTCCCAATATGACTCAGTTTTTAGCAAGCCGCTAACCAGACTGAGAGTCGAAGATCAAAATGAATTTTTTATGAGAGAGCCACAGAATTTGGTTAACACATGCCTATCCGATGTTATCCTGACGCCAAATGACTTCGAACAGGTGATAAATGACATGCCCATGCACTCTGCCCCAGGGCCAGACTCATGGAACTCCGTGTTCATCAAGAACTGCAAGAAGCCCCTATCACGAGCCTTTTCCATCCTATGGAGAGGGAGCATGGACACGGGGGTCGTCCCACAGTTACTAAAAACAACAGACAGCCCCACTCCACAAAGGGGGCAGTAAAGCAACAGCAAAGAACTACAGACCGATAGCACTAAAATCCCATATCATAAAAATCTTTGAAAGGGTCCTAAGAATCAAGATCAGCACCCATCTAGAAACCCATCAGTTACACAACCCAGGGCAACATGGGTTTAGAACAGGTCGCTCCTGTCTGTCTCAACTATTGGATCACTATGACAAGGTCCTAGATGCACTAGAAGACAAAAAGAATGCAGATGTAATATATACAGACTTTGCAAAAGCCTTCGACAAGTTTGACCATGGAGTAATAGCACACAAAATGCGTGCTAAAGGGATAACTGGAAAAGTCGGTCGATGGATCTATAATTTCCTCACTAACAGAACACAGAGAGTAGTCGTCAACAGAGTAAAGTCAGAGGCAGCTACGGTGAAAAGCTCTGTTCCACAAGGCACAGTACTCGCTCCCATCTTGTTCCTCATCCTCATATCCAACATAGACAAGGATGTCAGCCACATCTTGCTCCTGGGGGATTTCAACTTAAGGCACCTAAAATGGAGGAATATAGCAAATAATATTGTTGCAAAAATAACACCAGGAGGCAGCTCTGATGAAAACTCGCACTCACACGAGCTTTTAAATCTCTGCACAAAATTCAATTTAAACCAGCAAATAATAGAGCCTACTAGACTGGAGAATACACTAGACCTCATCTTCACTAACAATGATGATCTGATAAGAAATGTCACCATATCAAAAACAATATACTCAGATCACAACAAAATTGAGGTTCAGACATATATGCGTGGAGCTCCAGACCGACATAATGAAATTAGTCACGAGGGAGCATTCACCAAATTCAACTTCAATAACAAAAACATAAAGTGGGACCAAGTAAACCAAGTCCTAACCGATATAAGCTGGGAAGATATACTAAGCAACACAGACCCCAACTTATGCCTAGAACAGATCAACTCGGTGGCACTCGATATATGCACAAGGCTTATTCCTCTAAGAAAAAGGAGGAGTAGATGTAAAATAGAAAGAGACAGGCGCTCCCTTTACAGGCGACGGAAAAGAATAACAGAGCGGCTAAAAGAGGTCAATACGTATATCTAAAATACGTAGGGAGACACTGGTCAGAGAAATAACAAACATCGAACTTAAGCTAAAGGAATCTTATAGGAGTCAGGAATTGCAGGAAGAACTAAAAGCCATAAATGAAATCGAAAGAAATCCAAAGTATTTCTTCTCCTATGCCAAATCAAAGTCGAGAACAGCGTCCAGTATTGGGCCCCTACTTAAACAAGATGGGTCCTACACAGATGACAGCAAGGAAATGAGTGAGCTACTCAAGTCCCAATATGACTCAGTTTTTAGCAAGCCGCTAACCAGACTGAGAGTCGAAGATCAAAATGAATTTTTTATGAGAGAGTCACAGAATTTGGTTAACACAAGTCTATCCAATGTTATCCTGACGCCAAATGACTTCTAACAGGCGATAAATGACATGCCCATGCACTCTGCCCCAGGGCCAGACTCATGGAACTCCGTGTTCATCAAGAACTGCAAGAAGCCCCTATCACGAGCCTTTACCATCCTATGGAGAGGAAGCATGGACACGGGGGTCGTCCCACAGTTACTAAAAACAACAGACATAGCCCCACTCCACAAAGGGGGCAGTAAAGCAACAGCAAAGAACTACAGACCGAAGCACTAACATCCCATATCATAAAAATCTTTGAAAGGGTCCTAAGAAGCAAGATCACCACCTATCTAGAAACACATCAGTTACACAACCCAGGGCAACATGGGTTTAGAACAGGTTGCTCCTGTCTGTCTCACTACGACAAGGTGCTTGATGCACTAGAAGACAAAAAGAATGCAGATGTAATATATACAGACTTTGCCAAAGCCTTCGACAAGTTTGACCATGGCGTAATAGCGCACAAAATGCGTGCTAAAGGAATAACAGGAAAAGTCGGTCGATGGATCTATAATTTCCTCACTAACAGAACACAGAGAGTAGTAGTCAACAGAGTAAAGTCCGAGGCAGCCACGGTGAAAAGCTCTGTTCCACAAGGCACAGTACTCGCTCCCATCTTGTTCCTCATCCTCATATCTGACATAGACAAGGATGTCAGCCACAGCACTGTGTCTTCCTTTGCAGATGACACCTGAATCTGCATGACAGTGTCTTCCATTGCAGACACTGCAAGGCTACAGGCGGACATCAACCAATTCTTTCAGTGGGCTGCAGAAAACAATATGAAGTTCAACGATGAGAAATTTCAATTACTCAGATATGGTAAACACGAGGAAATTAAATCTTCAGCAGAGTACAAAACAAATTCTGGCCACAAAATAGAGCGTAACACCAACGTCAAAGACCTGGGAGTGATCATGTCGGAGGATCTCACCTTCAAGGACCATAACATTGTATCAATCACATCTTCTAGAAAAATGACAGGATGGATAATGAGAACCTTCAAAACTAGGGAGGCCAAGCCCATGATGACACTCTTCAGGTCACTTGTTCTATCTAGGCTGGAATATTGCTGCACACTAACAGCACCTTTCAAGTCAGGTGAAATTGCTGACCTAGAAAATGTACAGAGAACCTTCACGGCGCACATAACGGAGATAAAACACCTCAATTACTGGGACCGCTTGAGGTTCCTGAACCTGTATTCCCTGGAACGCAGGCGGGAGAGATACATGATTATATACACCTGGAAAATCCTAGAGGGACTAGTACCGAACTTGCACACGAAAATCACTCACTACGAAAGCAAAAGACTTGGCAGACGATGCAACATCCCCCCAATGAAAAGCAGGGGTGTCACTAGCACGTTAAGAGACCATACAATTAGTGTCAGGGGCCCGAGACTGTTCAACTGCCTCCCAGCATATATAAGGGGGATTGCCAACAGACCCCTGGCAGTCTTCAAGCTGGCACTGGACAAGCACCTAAAGTCAGTTCCTGACCAGCCGGGCTGTGGTTCGTACATTGGTTTGCATGCAGCCAGCAGTAACAGCCTGGTTGATCAGGCTCTGATCCACCAGGAGGCCTGGTGACAGACCGGGCCGTGGGGGCGTTGACCCCCGAAACTCTCTCCAGGTAAACTCCAGGTGTAGAAATTAGAAGACAATGTGATGGGGATATGAAAGATATATTTCATAGGGTTGAGGTGGTTTAGGCATTTGGAGAGACTAAAGCAGAATAGGATGACCAACGAGGTATCTATTTGCATAGTGAATGGAAGAAGGGGGTAGTTGTCCCAGGAAGGGTTAGAGCCTGGGTGTGAAAGAGGTTTTAAGTGGTAGGGACTTTAACGTTGTCCAGACCCCTGAAATGAAACTTTCAGTGTCCAAAAAATTCTCCTCTGAAATGATGGAAAATCTTTTTCTGAAGGTAATAACACCAAGTATGAAATTTGATGGAAAACTTATGGAATTACGCTGGCACAAAGTTATCAGTTTCAGCACAATTTATGCACTGATGATTTCACCCACTTTCAGTCCTATTTTAGGCCAATTTCTTTGTTCCATTCGACCAAATTCTTAGCTATTTTGCTAGTATGCTTTCCTCTATATTGATTGAGCACAAGAAACTGCCCATTTAACTATTTCAACTACCCTATTAGGTGATTAGTATTCAGTAATTTGGCAAATTTTACACAAAATTTAAAATATGCTAGTTTAAAAATACAGTTCATAATAAACAATGTAGACATTCTTGACATTAAAACATTTCCTTTCTTCATTAGTCATGTCCCCAGGCCTCTCCTATATTACAGTTGCTTTCCATTTTTGCATTCTTATTCACACAAAAATAGATGATTTACTCTGTTCCTCAAACAAACAATTTTATTTCTTTGCATAGGTTACAATGTGTGAGTGCATATAAAGTGTGTTGATGGGTACAAAGAAAGCCACTAGCATGCTGGGGCATTTCAGGCAGACTACTTAATACTACATATAAAAAGTGGTAAATTTTAATTATACATTGTTTTCCTTATTACAACAGTGAGGTAGCTAATGGTTCGCAGTAATTAAATATATAGCTGAGGTGGACTATATAAAAAATAACAGTGTTACAATTTACAGTAATGCAATTGAAACAATTTTAAGTTTGAAATAATGTTTGCTTAATTGAGCAGTTGTAAATTCTTTGGGATTTTTGAGTTGCTGGTAGGTGATAAAATATGAGGTGCCTTAAATTGATTTGCAGGCAGGAACCCTTTTGTATGTTTGGCAATGAATTCCAGATCTTCAGGCCCTTTATGTGCATAGCATTTTTGCATAGGGTAAGATGGACATGAGGGATGTCAAAGTGTTTTGTACCTTGTGTTATGGCTGTGTGTTCTGTTGTAGTTATCAAGGACAAATATGAAAGGAGGGTTTATGTTGGAGTATAATGTTCTGACCCCATACACACATACCATAGGTGAGGTTAAGGTAGATAAGAGCATGGTAAAGAGCAAAAATTGCCATTTGGGGTACATAGTGCTGTATCTTAGAAAGGATGCCTGCCGTTTTGGAGACTTTCTTGGATATGTGCTGTATGTGGGTCTGAAATTTAAGACAGCAGTCAAGGTGAAGACCTAGAAATTTGCCCTCAGTGTGTCTTGAAATGGAGAAACCAATTATCAGTGTTTAGCTTGATATTTGAAGCTGTTTCCAGACAGCATGAAGTAGGTTTTGTCTATATTGAGAGTGAGTTTGTTGGTCGTCATAGAAGTAGATATTTTTAGTAGCTAATCATTTAGTATCTCAAAGCATAGCTAGCTTTGGGTGAGAGAAGACATAAGTAGTGTCATCTGCAAATAGAACTGATTTAAGGACTTGAGATGCATTGGGGAGGTCATTGATGGATGTAAATTAAAAAGAGCAGTGGGCCAAGGACACTACCCTGTGGGACTTCAACAAGAACAGGTTGTGTAGTGGAGGTAATGCCATTTGTGTATACAGACTAGTGTCTATTGCTAAGATAAGATTTCAGGTGATCAAGAGAATGTCCTCTGATCCCGTAATAATATATAACCAGGAAAGTGTTCATGGTTTACAGCATCCCAGTAATTGAATCATACCTATTAAAAACTCATAAAATGGACTGGGGGTTATAGAGGGGGGCCTTACCTCTCCTCTGAAATATCAACAAAAATCTAATATTTTTTGCTGCTTTGAACTCAATTTCAAGCTATTTTCAGTCCCGAAACCAATCAAAATAATCTCTATTTCAGTAATGTCTTCCATTCTATCAAATGATATCAAGAAACAGTCAATAAAACCATAAAACCATCCGAGAAAACACCACAGTCACTTTTAACCATACACACAGTCAGTTTTGTTTTTCCCATCATGCACCACATGGGGCAGGATTTTTTTTTATATGGTGCACACTCATCAACCAGACCCTTCTCTCATATCTAGGCCAAAATTTACCACTCACAGGTCATCTGAGTGAGCTGAGCTCACAACATAAAACTACGTGATGGACCCTGGCCTCATTGTCATAATTTTACGCAATGGACAGTGCAAGGGTTAAGGAGGCATATGCAAGTGTGTTAGCTCCAAGTGAAAAAGTTATTTTTATGGCTCAACATGCTGTTGGTGTGTGAGCCAGGTACCTGGGTGTTAATAGGTTGGTGTGGGTCACATCCTGGGACAAAACTGACCTAATTTGCCCAAAATGTTCTGCATAACAAGCAGCTTTCTATACAGTAGTACATGTCATTGATGTCGGTTAGGCCTGTATACCTTGTACCTGTACTTGTAGAAATAATTATATTATTATTATTATTATTATTATTATCAAAGAGAGGTGCTAAACCTACAAGGGTCATACAGTGCAGGGGGGTGGGAAGTACAGTGTCTGCACTCTGAAGGAGGGGTATGGATGTTGCAGTTTAGAGGATTATTTGAATTATGATGTCTACATGTTTCTGTCAAGACAGCAACCAGCTGACTTTTTTTTTTTTTTTTTTTTTTTTTTTTTTTTTTTTTTGCCATCTCTACCTTGGTAAGAGATAGCCAGTGTGTTAAAAATATCTACTGTACCTCAAAAATCTTTTAGCGACTGATAAAGAAAATGTGCTGTAGCATTTTTAATTTGTATAAATCATTTGAAAAATGAATATAAGATCAGAATATTCTTTAGTGTTCATTCTCTACTCTTTCCTTCATGAAGATATAATTTCAGAGATCATAAATCAGACATTTGTACATCTTTATTCTGGAATAAAGATATCCAAATGTTGCACAAGTGTCTCACTTATCAACTTGTCAATCTCCATAAAGCGCTTGAAAATGTCTTCATAAATAGTTACTTTTTAATATGTAACCAAGCAATAGAACTGAAGTTTTATAATGTAACCAAGCAATAGAACTAAAGTTTTATATGTAGTGTTTTTCAAATAAACAATATTACCATTTAGGTGCACTGACAAGTACAAGGGAAACCGGTGTGAGTTATTAGTTCCACTGACTACCACCATACCACCAACCACCACTTCCCCACCCTTCCCTAGTAGTGGTGGTGGGCTCAGCGCAGGTGCTATTGTTGGCATCATCCTCGGAGTCCTCGTCTTCATCATTCTACTGTCAGTAATTGCCTATTATTTTATAAAAAAGAGACAGTAAGTATTCCTCAGGTATCTTATTAGACATATAGTTAGCTCCCTTATAAAGCTCCTCTGTATAGTGCAGCTTTATAAATGGGATTAAAAATGGTATATTCAAAAGTGAATAATGCATGGAAAGGTCTTCATAGTATTTGCTATTCAGTCATGGAAGAACTGTTAGTCACATTTACAAAAGCCACACTATATAGAGAATTATTAAAATTAAAACTAATTGCTAAATCCATGAGGATCATACAGCACTGCAGGGCAGAATGTACCCAGACACATGACTGGGTACACTCGCTTTTGTCTCTTGTCTGAGTTTGTTGGTTCAAACTTAGAGCGTTGGCTATATAGAGGAGCTTTATGAGAAAGCCGACTGTCCATGCAAATTCAATATTAGCCTCTTTGAAGGAGATTTATGTATGACTTGTCTCATAAGGTTTAGGTAATACTGACAAATGCACTATAAAAAACAGACATATACAACTTACAAAATATTTGATAGGATACATTTCTCATAAGTTACATGCATGTATTTTTAAGTAACTTGCCAAGTTTAGTGTATAGATGAGGCTGATGCTGTGTAAGCATATTGGATATTGCAAGTTTAATACTTAAACTACAACTGTTTTATTAAATTTTGTCTAAGTGAAACTATTTTGTTGCTCAAATTGTCATGAGGAAAAGACACTGGTGCCTAGTAAGTTTTTTGTGTGACATTTCATTGTGTCCAGCATTTTTTTTTTTTTTTTTTTGTGTGCGTGTGTGTCTGTGTGTACGTACTTACCTATTTGTGGTTGCAGGGGTCGAGACTCAGTTCCTGGCCCCACCTCTTCATTGATCGCTACTAGGTCCTCTCTCTCCCTGCTCCATGAGCTTTATCATACCTCATCTTAAAACTATGTATGGTTCCTGCCTCCACTACACCACTTGCCAGATTATTCCACTTCCTGATAATTCTGTGACTAAAGAAATACTTCCTAACATCTCTGATTCATCTGAGTCTTCAGCTTCCAGTTGTGATCCCTTGTTTTGTGTCCCATCTCTGGAACATCATGTCTTTGTCCACCATGTCAATTCCTTGCAGTATTTTATGTTATGTCTCCCCTAACCCTCCTGTCCTCCAGTGTCGTTAGGTTGGTTTCCCTTAGTCTTTCTAAGCAGGACAATCGCCTTAGCTCTGGGACTAGTCATGTTGCAAACCTTTGCACTTTCTCTTCTCATAAAGCTGCAGCAGGTTTGTGACACAGGATTTTCATTCTCTGAAACCATGCTGTTGTCATTTATAAGCTTGTGTCTTTTTAGGTGCTCCACCACTCTCCTCCTGATAATCTTCTCCATGACTTTGCATACCATACACGTCAGTGACACAGGTCTGTAGTTTAATGTCTCGTATCTGTCTCCTTTCTTAAAAATTGGGACTACATTTGCCATACCTCAAGTAGTTGCCCACTTTCAGTGGATGTGTTGAAGATTTTTGTTAGTGGCACACACATCATCTCTGCTCCCTCCCTATGGACCCACAGAGAAATGTTGTCCGGTCCACCACCTTTGAGGTACCAAGTTCACATAGCAGCTTCTTCACCTCCTCCTCGGTTGTGTGCATTTTATCCAGCACTTGTTGGTGTACCTCCCTATTCTAACTTTCTGGAGTCCTTCCTGTCTCCACTGTAAATACTTCTTTAAATCTCATGTTGAGCTCCTCACATACTTCTCAGTCATTTCTTGTGAACTCCCCACCTCCCTTCCTCAGCCTGATTACCTGGTCCTCCTGATGTGGCTATACAACAGCTTCAGGTCAGACTTGACTTTCAGTGCTATGTCATTTTCATATTGTCGCTGAGTCTCCCTTCTTATCTGTGCATATTTGTTACTGGCTCTTCGGCTAAGCTCTTTATTTTCCTGGGTCCTTTGTTTTCTGTACTTTCTCCTTTCTCTAGTGCACTTAGATTTTGCCTCCCTATACTTTTGAGTGAACCAAGGACTCATTCTGGTCTTCCCATTATTCCTGTTTTCCTGGGGAACAAACCTCTCCTCTGCCTACTTGCATTTTGTTGTCACATAGTCCATTTCTTTTACTGGTTTTCCTGCCAATTCTCTTTCCCACTGAATATCTTTCAGGAAGTTCCTCATGCCTGTGTAGTCTCCCCTTTTGTGTGTATTTTGTCTCTGTCTGTCTCTCTCCCCCAAAGAGGTAAAACTTGTGATTTTAGCTTAAACAGCAACACTCTTCTTGCTGAATAAAGCAAGCGAAACTGTGTGTGCAATAATTTCCCCAAAATCATTTTGAACCTAACAAAAATATATTTCATTGTTTTTGTTTATTAAATTATTGTAAACTTATCTAAAATATATTTAGTTGGATTAGGCTAAATTAAATTGCACTTGTTATAATAAGGTTAAGTAAGTTTTCTAAGGTTCTTTTAGTACAAAATTATTAATTTTTATATTAACATAAATGAAAAAATATATCTTTAAACGTCCAAGAGAAAATTTTAGAAAGGACTTACTTTTAAACGAGTTCTTGCTAAGTGACCAGTTTTACCTATTTGGCACGACATGTATATAGGGGATACTTTCCCTTCCTTCCCTCCTTCCTTGGACTAAACTTGATTACCTCCTGTTCCCTATGCATAGTATGATTTCTTCTGATTTAGTTTTCTTGTGAATATAATAATTGTGACACTAAAAGATCCAGTCTTCTCATTTGCAAAGTATCTCAAACATCAGACTTCAGGGTCATTTAAACCGCCAGGTACCCACCACTGAGAGAGGAAAGCAACTGGGATGATCCTCGCCATCAGCCCTACTTTGGGTTGGACATGCCACAGCCTGCTGAAGATGAATACCCATTGGAGGACCTCAGTGAATCTAATACTGCTGAAGGACTGTCTAAATCAACCTCTAACAAACCTGTATCAGATTTGTAGGTCATAAATGTATAGATATTATTGGTAGTGATGATATAATGAACATCTCATTAATGCATTTTTGAAGTATTTGCACCTATCCAAATTCTAGGAAATAACGGTGACTAGTAGTCTTAGATGGGCTATTTTTATAGGACACTTTCTCTAAAATAAACTTCTGTAGTTATATTAAGGGCAGAAGTATAGAACTATCAAAACTAACAAGTGTGCATAAAAAATCACATCCTATAACCTCATTCAGTGTACTCTATGATTTAGTCGAGAACAGCCCAATGATGCAAAATCAACTAATAGCATACTACACCATGACCCAGAATACAGTCATCTTCGGTATAAGGTTTTGGAATGTTTTGTACTCTAGAAATAGTAACTCTTTTGACAAGCATTAATATCAAAATGTGCTTAATGTCTTTAACAGTTAAAACAGATTTTGAAATTATCCTCTTCACATTTTGAAAGAACAGTGACAGAAATTGACATTTTTTAAAATAACCACTTTCAATTTGAACTATCTGAACTTTGACTCAAAGGACAATCTTTGTAGAATATAAGTGACACTGGTTCTGCTAATGCCATTCTACTGGCGGCAGTTACATTTTTTTTTTTCGTGTGTGCATGTGTGAGTGAGCGAGCGAGTCTCGTGTATTTTCAGTACCAGAAAGAATAGCATAGGACTGACCATTCTTGCATCAACATTCTTTTGGAAATGCTTTTAAAATTTCAACAGCTCTACATTTAAGACAGTTCAATAATTTTAATTTATATGGGAACAATGTAACATTTCATAATTTCAAATTTCTAAGCTACACAGCATTGAGGGAAACTATTCATTTAATACACTAAGAATGCAATATAAAAATAGTCCATCTTAAAACAAATATGTAATAATGAAGATGTATACTGCTGCACTGAATGTGGTCCAAACATTCCATGGAGGGTATATTCACCTTCCACAAGAAACTCTTATTCAATCTTGTAGTATTTCTTCGGTTTTCATATTGTTTCAATAAAACTGTGAACTAGTAATAGTGTATAAATAAAGTAAATTAGATGTATTAGTCATTAACTGTAATACTCATCAGCAGAAAATTCACCACCCTGAACATTACTTTTTCCTCTGAGATTTAACAACTTTTTTCCCCTCCAACTTTTTTTTTTTTTTTTTTTTTCCTTCCCAGCCCTTTACCTCACCTGACTGTCCAATATGTTCAGTTTACATATTTGATTTGCTACATCCATTTTGTAAATATTCACTGCCTGTCCTACACTCTCCACAAGCCTCAGGATATGTTGAAATTTTTTCAACAATAAATATATTGAACACCAGAGAAATTATGCCTAACCTACTCTTATGAAAATTTATAGATACTGCTGAATTCCTTTTGTGAGCCTTCATGTAGGGAATTAACTCTGATGCATTAATAAGTGAGCCTCACATCATCAAGGACCAAATCACGGGTTTCTGCGCTCTCCTCATTTTTTATTAGATTGCGTCCTTTTCCTTCATGTGGAAACTTCATCCTGAATGCATTAAATACCACAGCTTAGACCATCATTGAGGCTGGAATAATTCCGATTTGTATGGAATACCATGATTAGTCCAATTAACCGTTGCGATGACAGAATATGTAATTCCAGAAAAACAAGAGCTATATGCACAAAAATGCAAAAAGTCAATAATTTTTTTCAGTTTTATTTAGCTGTATTGATTGCTTTCCCATTTTTCAATGTATCACAGTTTGGGTTAATCATCACATAAGCTCTTACCTTCTGCTCATTGTCTGGAATTGAATGAATTGTTTATTCATTCGCTCCACAGGCCATGGCTGTATCAACAACACATGCACCTCCTTTAAGCATATCTATTGCCTCTTATTTCCTTTACTAAAGGCACAGTTTAATGCTTAAACTCCTTTCCCTACACTAGATTGCCTCTTTGATGCCATGACTAATATCCTGACATGGCATGTAGTAATAACACACTAGAGAAATCATCCACATGACAACTGGCAATAGGATGGTGGGAGGCAAGGGGAGGATGTCAACAAAGCTAGGTATCCCATGAAACAAGACATCCATGGCACATGGGGGTGGAAGTGCCCACTTGTGCTGCTGAGAAGGCTGGTCATGTCAGAGCACAAGGTGGGAATGAGTAGAGCATCCACAAAAGGGAGAAATAGATACAAAAAATTAATAGGGAACACACGAAACGTAGTGCATGCAGATGTGAAAAGTGGTAATCTATACATTATTATTAAACACCATGGAGAAGTGCTAAACCCACAGGGGTCATATAGCACCTAGGGAAATAGGAGGCATTCAGGTTCAATCTAAGGAAGGGGAGGGAGGCCCAATTCCTTGGATTAAGGGCCCCTCACCAGCATCAAGGAACCTCATCTGAGGAGCTTTTCTACACTGGAACTTGACTGGTCACCCCATTCCAATTTCTCATTCATGCAACTTGCCTGTAGTCAGCAATGCCTTAATTCATAAGAGAATTTTTCTTCCAGTATGAATGATACTGGAGATGGGAGAATATATAGGATAAATAGCCTACAATTATTACACTTGAAATTACAAAAATACGAAAGGATTACATAATCAAGATATTATCTCCCTTAATTTATTGATTATTTAAGAAAATGATGAGCATATGATGGCATGATTTCCATGACAGAAATGACCATGAGAAGTACAGTGATGCATCATGTGGGGGCACCAGGGAGATGATGGCCAGCCTATCCTGCCATGCTGATGAAGTGTCATGGGAGTTGTTTTCTTAATAGTTCTTGGTGAAGAAGATACACATGGAAAACATACAACATCCTCTGGACTTTCCCTTCCTTGACCATTAACATATTCTCCAATACATGACCCACTTCGCATCAGCTTTGGGGTGAATGACCATGGGTGACCAACAGGTATATCCTCTTGTCTAATTTGGACTGAACTGGTATGGTGTTTAGGTAAACTATTGCTACGTACAAGACCACACGATCTGTGATAATGACACCTACTAACCTGTTTTGTGAAGTATGGACAGTGAGAGCAATGTGTGGGGTTGATACAAGGGGCTCTATATCCAACTAATGTGTCATGTGCATTCTGATCAATAGGAATTCTCTCTCTCTCTGGAATGTGTAGCTTCCCAACATTAAGTATTGCTGATGCTGTTGATATGGAACGTATAGTACTTGGCTGCAATGACTCATGGATTTCAGGGCTTCCTGCATCAGATACTGAAACCTGAGGGATTACAGAATTTATAGTTGTCCTGTCTGAAACCTCAGTGCTGTTCTGAGCAGAGGTATGCATTATCTTTTTTGAATCTATGACATTATGTTTAGGAGATTCAGATAAAGAGGCAGAGATAAATTTTGGCCATTTGGATTCTCTTGTCTCGGGAAGAGGTGGTGGTGGTGGTGGTGTGGGTGTAGCAGGTGGTGATGGTAGTGGCCATGAAGACTGTGCCTGTGATGGCACAAGTGGGGAAGAATTTGAGGATGGCAACGTTACTGAGGGGTGCAATGGAGTCAGAGACATAATTGGAGAATGGAGTAGTAATGTATGTGACAAAGAAAGGGGTGAAGAAAGAATGGGTTTATGGGGATACTGTTGGGAGATATGGGAAGACAGTAATGGTGAGGATAAAAATGGTGGTGGGGGAGGAGTTGGCACAGAAGATTCCATCCATGCAACATCTGCACCAAGATCAGGTCTGTAAAAGAAAAACAGATTTTTACCTTTTTTTTTTTTTTTATAATCAACATTACTGTTATAATTTTTAACATCACTTTCTACACAAAAATATTTTTTGGTTTTGTTTGTTTAATTCGCATTAAGCACTAAACTGATTTGGATTATTCAGTGCAGTATGTGGAGGTTTGATCCTCTGTCTGCTGGGCGCGAGAGATGCGCTTCCTATTTTCATCAGTCAATTATAGCTCTCTGATGAATAAACATTAGAATATGTATATGCTCCATTGTAGTGATATCTTACTACTTTATATGGGTACACACAATAGTCTAATTTGTGTCAGATTCATGTTGAAATCTAAGAATGTGCTACCAAAGATAACCCACTTTCAGATGACTATGATACAGTATAAGTTATAATGTTAGCTTCGTGCCATGTGACAGTAGTAAACAAATACAGACAGTATATCCAAAAGTCAGAAACCTGTAATTATTTAACATGATGGTAGAATTGCTGGTATCTCATTTTTTGTCTCAAACATGGAGAATAACAGGTATATCTTGCTACTACTGCTTCCACTTAAGTCACACTACACATGCATATATATATATCCTTACCCATCTGGGTTTTCTTCTATTTTCTTAATAGTTCTTGTTCTTTATTTCCTCATATCTCCATGGGAAAGTGGAACAGAATTCTTCCTCTGTAAGCTATGCATGTCATAAGAGGCAACTAAGATGTCAGGAGCAAGTGGCTAGTAACCCCTTCTCCTGTATACATAACTAAATTTAAAGATAGAAACTTTAGTTTTGCTTTTTAGGTCACTCTGCCTTGGTGGGATATGGCCGGTTTAAAAAAATAATCCAAAAGTGAGGAAAGTTTTTAAAAACAATAACTTAGATAATAATGCATCTAGAAATTATCTAGTACAGCATGAGTGATAATACAATATTTAGCATATTCCAGATACTTAAAGGAAGAGAAAGTATTACAAGTACAGTGGAACCTTGACTTATGAGTTTATTCCATTCTGTGACCTAGCTCGTAACTCAATTTGCTTGTATATCAAATCAATTTTCCTCATTTAAATTAATTGAAATGCCATTAATCCGTTCCAGCGGAATTCCTGCTATTGGGAGGCAGGACAAAATACTTCAATATAATGCTAATATCAACTCTAGGTAGTAGGTTGGTAAACAGCAACCACCCAGGGAGGTACTACCGTCCTGCCAAGTGAGTGTACAACGAAAGCCTGTAATTGTTTTACATGATGGTAGGATTGCTGGTGTCTTTTGTCTGTCTCATAAACATGCAAGATTTCAGGTATGTCTTGCTACTTCTTCTTGCATTTAGGTCACACTACACATACATGTACAAGCATATATATACACACACACACCCCTCTGGGTTTTCTTCTATTTTCTTTCTAGTTCTTGTTTATTTCCTCTTACCTCCATGGGGAAGTGGAACAGAATTCTTCCTCCGTAAGCCATGCGTGTTGTAAGAGGCGACTAAAATGCCGGGAGCAAGGGGCTAGTAACCCCTTCTCCTGTATATATTACTAAATTTAAAAAGAGAAACTTTAGTTTTTTCTTTTGGGCCACCCCGCCTCGGTGGGATACGGCTGGTATGTTGAAAGAAAGAAGATCAACTCTACAGCTTATTTATCTCTCACAACTGATCTAATATGACATAAAGAATATAAATAACATAGAAACAAGAAATATACTCAAGAATGAATAAAATAGGCCATAATATGGCAAGTGGTAGTGGCACCTCCCACTTCCGCACTGACCATATCTTCCCATTCTTCCCCTTCTGAAAATGGAGTGTTTATCTATGATTTCATGCTTTAATTCCATGATCATCATCCTTTTTTCTTCTCAGCATTGTCCTTTGCACTTACTTTCTTAGGACCCATGGTTAGGAAAAAATTTGGCAAAATAACTGCACAAAATGCAAGCAAAACACAAGAGAAATGCTACCATGGTAAGGTAAACAGTGCACTGCGCCACATAGTGGCGGCGTTTTGAACCTCATTATTATTATTATTATTATTATTATTATTATTAATTTATGGAACTGGAGCACAGATCCAATTCCCTAGATCAAGAGCCCCTCACCAGCATCAAGGAACCTTGATACTGGCAAGGGGCTCTTGATCTAGGGAATTGGATCTGTGCTCCAGTTCCCTAAATTAATAATAATAATAATAATAATAATAATATAATAATAATGAGAAGCTTCAGAACACTGCCACTAGTTGGAGCAGTGCACTGTTTACCTCGCCGTGGAAGCATTTCTCTCATGTTTTGCTTGCATTTTGTGTAATAATTTTACCAAATTTCTGTTTTCTAACCAGGGTCCTAAGAAAGTAAGTGTAAAGGACAGTGCTGAGAAGAAAAAGAGGATGATGTTCATGGAATTAAAGCATGAAATCATAAACACAAGCGATGTGTGCAGGTTGTGGGTTGTGAGGGAAGCTCGTTCATACCTCGGATTTTGGCTTTTAACTCAGAGTGAAAAATTTACCAAACGACGGCTCGTATCTCAAAAAACTCGTATGTTGGGGCACTCACAAGTCGAGGTTCTGCTGTATAAGGGTGTAAGTGGTACAAGATGTGACCTACTTATAGTATAAACAGGTATACGGGAAAATACGAGAGGCTTACAAGTGAAAATAACTAAATACAGTGGACCCCTGGTTTTTTGGCCAGTGTGGAACTCTGCAAATTCGGAAATCTAGCACTTTTTTCGGCGAAATTTCCCCCTGGATTTCATGCATCTGCTCGGAAACTGTTGGTACCAGGCACGTTCACCTGGGCCGCTCATACGTTTGTGGCTCACTCTTAGGCACATTAAATGACTTATTTTAGGTTAATATAGACATTTTCATTAATAAATCTATGATATATTCTTCAAAATTATAGAAGAAACACGTTAGATAGCACATAAGCATGCCTTTGTTACTCGTTCACTAAGAGTGTCCCCCTAGTCTTAACACCACAGTTATAATACTAATATGTAATAATAATCACTCTTGGGCACATTAAGTCTCTTATTGTACGTTAATAGAAAGTTTCATTACTCCATCTATGATATTTTCTTCAAAATTATATAAGAAACAAGTTACATAGCATATAGCATATAAACACGCAATGTTTACATGCTATCGAGTGGAGATTCAGGGGGAGAGTAAACATTACATTTTGTCTGATTCAGCTTTAAAGAAAACTGTGAATCTGGCGCCTGGCCCAGTCACTGCCCTTCATACATGTTTATTTACAATTCTCGGCATGAATTAATCATTACTTCTCCCTTTGTTTATGATGGCATCTAAAGGTAGTTGTCAGAAATTATTAAACTCGGTAAACATGGTATGTCGATGCAACAAAATGGGTGTGTAGTGTAGAAAGGGGGGGGGGTTTTTTATGTGTACCTACATCTACCCCTGCCCACACCTGCTTTTTACAAAAAAATATACTCACCACTCCCCTTATTAAGAATTTCACATTTTTTTCCAAAATAATTTAATGTACTGTGGCAGTAAAAGATAAAGTGGGAAGTAACCCCAAAGAGGGTTTCGGGTACCTGAAGTCCTTATGGGGGGGATTCCCAACTCCCTCTCCCCCGCTCCCTTCTTCAATTTGCCAAAAAGTTTTTCCCAAAAGGGGTTAATGTTATTTTTCATTAAGGTTAGTTTCTTTATATTTCTTTCTCATTGTTTTCTGTATGTAAAATTATATTTTTTTTTTTTTTTTTTTTTTTTTTTTTTTTTTTTTTTGGGTTTTCTTTGGGAAATTTATTTTTTGTATTTACGGGGATTTCTCCCTGGGGGAAAAATTTCTTTTGGGTTTTTAGTCATTTTGGATTTCAGCCAACATTCTGGAACCCGATTACCCGGCCCAAAAAAACCCTGGGGGCTAAAGTAAAAAAGGGAAAAAAGCCCAAAAGGACCAGTTTTTTCAAAAAGTGACTTGATCTGGAAAGGGAAAATGGGAAAAATACCAAAAATAAAGTTATTAGATCCCGCAGAATTTAAGGCAAAAGTTCTACAGCTAAAAAACTTTAAATGTTTGGATATAATCAATGAATTTAAGAGCATTTGCTTTTGAAAGGTTTTAAGTTGTAAAAATTTTAAAATTTTGCCCCCAAGGCAAATATGCGCAAATGCGTGTGGACATGTGCTGTTCTTTTCATTTGGGTTTTACAGGCACCTGGAATTTTTTTTCTGTTCTGATATGAATACTGAATAAACAAGGCACAATACTGTGACTGGAACAACACAAGTTGAACCAAAACATTGTCATAAGATTCATTCTCCTGTGTTTGGGTTATTTGTACATGGAGTTGAATACTTCAAATTATTCTGAGTTGAGTAGTATTTTATGCTTCTAAAGCCTTTGATAAAGTTTAATGCAAAATAATAATCCCTGCTCAACTGTAGTCTCCCCTGTTCTGTAATATTAACAATATTTGTCTCAAACTGCAAAAGTAACCTATTTTATTTGCACTATAGTCTCCTTATTTCTTGTTTTATTCTTTTATCAGTTTTTAGTGTTATTCTTTCCACTGACTGCTCTGGTTGCCCAAATGTCAAGTTCATGACAAAAGGCAATCAAAGCTTGATTATTTACTGTATCTGTGATGATTAAACAAACATACTTTAATGAAAAAGCTCAACAGTTAATATAAGTGCCACATTAGGTCTCACCCTTGAATGTTATTAGAGAGAGTTGTTGAGAATACAGAGGGTGTAGTAACAAGAGTTTGGGTGGTAGAAGAAGAAGCCAAGGTAGTCCTGTGTCGCTTCCATTTCACCCATAAGAGAGACATGCTCAGCAGTGCCACAAGCACCCCACATGTCCCAGCTGTGGCAGCAGTAGCCATAATAGCTACATCAACACCTGCAGTACCCAATGGTTTATTAGGTTAAAGCCTTTAAACTGTATTAATGCTTCAATTGCATGCAAACCAACATTCAACAAATGAGCAATTTCCTTTAATCTTTAAAAAGGGGGATTAAAGGAAATGACTATGTGGCTATAGGACCCAACATGTATTATGTATTTAAGTAACAGTTACTCACTTTGGAATACCTAATTATATCAATCAATTTTATTTCTTTGCAAGTAGTACATTGAGATCATGTATTTACAATGAATTGCAGTGCAAGGAGAGCCTCTATCATGCCTAGGCATTATGGGCAGACTTAATTTAATGGATTACTGACTACTTAATCCTAAAGAATTTATCATAGTTTAAGTTGTACAATAATTTCAATAGTAAATATTTAAATTATATAATGGGAATATAACATTATGATTTGCTGAAAGTAGTTTACAGTATGAGAATGCTACAATTGGGTGTAGGGCAGTACTGTTTTGGGTAGGTATTTGTACTACTATGTAGTATTAGTTAATGTATGAACTTGAGTATCTAGTCTTGAAGTTTTAAGATTTAGGTAATTGGGAGATTTTTTGGTTAAATATTGTTAAATATTGAGTATTTAGTCTAGGGTGAGTAAGTGGCTTTTGAGAAGAGTCTTAAATTGATTTTCAGAATGGGTTACTTTAGTATTTTCTGGTAATGAATTCCAAATTTTGGGGCCCTTTCTGTGCATAGAGTTTTTACACGTGTGATATGGACAAGGGGTACATCAAAGAGAGATCCGTGTGTGTTATGGTCGTGTGTCCTGTTAAGATTGGTGAGAAGTTTGAGTGGAGAGTTTATGTTTGAGTGTAGTGTTCTATACATGTAGTAGGCACATGAATAAGTATGGATGTTCTTTATGGTGAGCAGATATAGATTTATTGAATTTTGGGTGGGAATGCTTTTGGGAGGGGAAATTTTATAAACCATTCTGACTGCACCCTTTTTTGCGGGGTTTATTAGTGGTCTTGGGTATTTTTGTTTTTTTGATCCCCAATGCACAAATTCCGTATGTGTCTGGAATTTGGGGCTACTGCCAAGGGAGTCCTGGGAAATTTTTCCCTCGGGGGGTCTTGGAGGGTTTGATCTTTTTTAGTTTTTATGTTAAGGGGAACCATTTGCGGGCTCGGGGTTCCGAACTAAAATGAAATAGGTTTTGTCAGTATTTAGGGTTAGTTTATTTAGCCCATCATCCGGGTAGATTTTTTTCTGCAATTGGGCATTGCCTGTGTTGGCGATATGACGGGGGTTTGTGAAGAAGCTAGGGTAGTTTCTTTCTGCAAAAAATTTTGGTTTTTTTTTAACGGGAAAGCATTTGGTGGGCCCACTGATTAGATGGGGAAAGCCCAGTGGTCCAAAGGACACCCCTTTGGGGGGAAACACCTACGTGTTTTGGTTGAGGGGAAAATTTAAAGCCCCAAATTTGTGTACACTTATTGGCTTTTTTTACAAAGGGTATAAACTTTGGGAATTTTAAGGGGGTGCCCTTTTATACCATAGCATTTAAATTTAATTTTGCAGTTATTCATGGTTGACTGTATCAAAATTTTTAAACTGATGGGGCCCACAACTGCTTTAATTGTCAAAAAAGGGCAATCACACTTAGGGCTAAAGAGTAAAGTTAAACAAGCCTGTTTTTTCCCAATATGATAGGTTGTACAATAGATGCAAAATTTTAAATAAGTATTTTGAAAGTTTGTTTTTCTTTTTGAAAAAAGTAAAATAAGGTGTAGTAAGGGAAAAGCAAAGTTATTGTGGAAAGCTAAGTTTTTTGGGTTTGAAAAAACAGTTTTTTTGTTTGTTTTGGGTGGGGTGTATGGGGAGGAGCCTTGCTGGGCCCCCCTCTCTCTGCCTCTCCCCCTTTTTTTGGCTTCAATTGGGGGGGGATCTTTTTTGCTCTTTTTCTTTTTTTTGGGGCAGGAAAATAATGCCCCAGAGGTAGGATTTGTACATAATGATGTAATCATTATACCCAGGGGGACTACAGTGTGTCAAAACACTTTTTAAGGTCATCAAAAGAAAAAAGGGGGAGCTGAAATTTTTTCCAAAGGGGTCAAGTGGCGGGCCTAAAAAGAACACAAGAGGGGGCTTGCTTTTTGTATAATAATGGGAAATTTCCCAATTTGTACATTTTGCATTCTTTCAACACCCCACCATAAACCCACCGAGGGGGACATTCTGTAAATTGTCTAGAATATATCCCTATTTTTTTTAACATGGTTTCAATAACCTGTTTAGAGGGCTGGGGAAAATATTTCAGGGGGTGAGATGACCAATCAAGAAAGTATTAACCCTAGATTTTAAAAAGGCCTCTATGTAAGCTAAACCCAAAACTAGAACCCTTAAGAGAACCATACCCTCCCAAAAATTAAAAAGGGGGGAAACCCAAATAACGACCTGTAATACAAAAAACCAAAACCCTTTTAAAAAGTATAAAATCTTTAAATACCATAATTTTTCTGCTTGTGTAAATAGGTCAAGAAAACTTTGGGTTTTTTAAAATTTTTATATAAAAAAAATGAAATATTAAAATTTAAAAAAAATTTTTAGCCCGTAAACCCTATAGAAATTTGAATGCCGGGTAAATTTAAATTTTGGCACCCGAGAAATTTAAAATGTATAAGAGCCTTTCTGAAAAAACTTTTAACCAAAAAAAAAAACTTCGATATTTATTTTAAAGAAATTAATTTTTAAAAACACCTTTCTACCCCCCACCAAAGTATAGTAACCCAAAAAAAAATGGAACTGTATTCACTATCATGGCTGTTTTATTTTTTTCTATGAAATGTAAAAAGATATATCATTAAAAACTAGGGGGTTTTTAAAACTCGTGTTGATGTTTTAGGGGTACATATTTCTTTTTTCTAAAATAAATATACAAACAAGGTATAGTACGCATTTGTAAATTAAAAAAAAATTTTAAAAAACTGAAAAAAACCACATACTTTTTCTTTTTAATATTTATAAGGGGCAAAAACCACGAAAAAAAGGGGAAAAAAAGACTGCAAAAATAAAAAAACAAGCTTTCAACTTTTTAAAAAAGGGAAAAATTACAAAATGTTTTTAAGTAACAATTTCTGGGAAAACAAAAAACACTCTTAGGTTTCATCAACTCTTTTATGTCCGAAACAAAATCATTATGAAAATCTGCCTAAGACAAAAGGCAATTTAAAAACCAAAGGAAACAAGTCAATGACTTTTGGTTTTCCTAGAAAATTTTAAAACCTTTACTATGAAAGAAAAATTAATTTTTTTTTATTTTTTTTTTTATTATCACACCGGGCCCATTCCCCCCCAAGGCAGGGTGGCCCGAAAAAAAAAAAACTTTTACCATCATTCACTCCATCCCCTGTCTTTCCCAAAAGGGGGCTTTTCACTACAGTTTTTTTAAATGCAACATTTAAAAACCCCTCCTCAGAAATGCAAAGGCACTGTACTTCCCATCTCCAGGACTCAAGTCCGGCCTGCCGGTTTCCCTGAATCCCTTCATAAATGTTACTTTGCTCACACATCCAACAGCACGTCAAGTATTAAAAACCATTTGTCTCCATTCACTCCTATCAAACACGCTCACTGCATGCCTGCTGGAAGTCCAAGCCCTCGCACACAAAACCTCCTTTACCCCCTCCCTCCAACCCTTCCTAGGCCGACCCCTACCCCGCCTTCCTTCCACTACAGACTGATACACTCTTGAAGTCATTCTGTTTCGCTCCATTCTCTCTACATGTCCGAACCACCTCAACAACCCTTCCTCAGCCCTCTGGACAACAGTTTTGGTAATCCCGCACCTCCTCCTAACTTCCAAACTACGAATTCTCTGCATATATTCACACCACACATTGCCCTCAGACATGACATCTCCACTGCCTCCAGCCTTCTCCTCGCTGCAACATTCATCACCCACGCTTCACACCCATATAAGAGCGTTGGTAAAACTATACTCTCATACATTCCCCTCTTTGCCTCCAAGGACAAAGTTCTTTGTCTCCACAGACTCCTAAGTGCACCACTCACTCTTTTTCCCTCATCAATTCTATGATTCACCTCATCTTTCATAGACCCATCCGCTGACACGTCCACTCCCAAATATCTGAATACGTTCACCTCCTCCATACTCTCTCCCTCCAATCTGATATTCAATCTTTCATCACCTAATCTTTTGTTATCCTCATAACCTTACTCTTTCCTGTATTCACCTTTAATTTTCTTCTTTTGCACACCCTACCAAATTCATCCACCAATCTCTGCAACTTCTCTTCAGAATCTCCCAAGAGCACAGTGTCATCAGCAAAGAGCAGCTGTGACAACTCCCACTTTGTGTGTGATTCTTTATCTTTTAACTCCACGCCTCTTGCCAAGACCCTCGCATTTACTTCTCTTACAACCCCATCTATAAATATATTAAACAACCACGGTGACATCACACATCCTTGTCTAAGGCCTACTTTTATACTGGGAAAAAAATTTCCCTCTTTCCTACATACTCTAACTTGAGCCTCACTATCCTCGTAAAAACTCTTCACTGCTTTCAGTAACCTACCTCCTACACCATACACTTGCAACATCTGCCACATTGGCCCCCCTATCCACCCTGTCATACGCCTTTTCCAAATCCATAAATGCCACAAAGACCTCTTTAGCCTTATCTAAATACTGGTTCACTTATATGTTTCACTGTAAACACCTGGTCCACACACCCCCTACCTTTCCTAAAGCCTCCTTGTTCATCTGCTATCCTATTCTCCGTCTTACTCTTAATTCTTTCAATTATAACTCTACCATACACTTTACCGGGTTTACACTCAACAGACTTATCCCCCTATAATTTTTGCACTCTCTTTTTTTCCCCTTTGCCTTTAAAACAAAGGAACTATGCATGCTCTCTGCCAATCCCTAGGTACCTTACCCTCTTCCATACATTTATTAAACAATTGCACCAACCACTCCAAAACTAATCCCCACCTGCTTTTAACATTTCTATCTTTATCCCATCAATCCCGGCTGCCTTACCCCCTTTCATTTTACCTACTGCCTCACGAACTTCCCCCACACTCACAACTGGCTCTTCCTCACTCCTACAAGATGTTATTCCTCCTTGCCCTATAACACGAAATCACAGCTTCCCTAACTTCATCAACATTTAACAATTCCTCAAAATATTCCTTCCATCTTCCCAATACCTCTAACTCTCCATTTAATAACTCTCCTCTCCTATTTTTAACTGACAAATCCATTTGTTCTCTAGGCTTTCTTAACTTGTTAATCTCACTCCAAAATTTTTTTCTTATTTTCAATAAAATTTGTTGATAACATCTCACCCACTCTCTCATTTGCTCTCTTTTTACATTGCTTCAACCACTCTCTTAACCTCTCTCTTTTTCTCCATATACTCTTCCCTCCTTGCATCACTTCTACTTTGTAAAAACTTCTCATATGCTAACTTTTTCTCCCTTACTACTCTCTTTACATCATCATTCCACCAATCGCTCCTCTTCCCACCTGCACCCACTTTCCTGTAAACCACAAACTTCTGCTGAACACTCTAACACTACATTTTTAAACCTACCCCATACCTCTTCGACCCCATTGCCTATGCTCTCATTAGCCCATCTATCCTCCAATAGCTGTTTATATCTTACCCTAACTGCCTCCTCTTTTAGTTTATAAACCTTCACCTCTCTCTTCCCTGATGCTTCTATTCTCCTTGTAATCCCATCTACCTTTTACTCTCAGTGTAGCTACAACTAGAAAGTGATCTGATATATCTGTGGCCCCTCTAAAAACATGTACATCCTGAAGTCTACTCAACAGTCTTTATACTACCAATACATAATCCAACAAACTACTGTCATTTTCGCCCTACATCATATCGTGTATACTATTTATCCTCTTTTTCCTTAAAATATGTATTACCTATAACTAAACCCCTTTCTATACAAAGTTCAATCAAAGGGCTCCCATTATCATTTACACCTGGCACCCCAAACTTACCTACCACACCTCCTCTAAAAGTTTCTCCTACTTTAGCATTCAAGTCCCCTACCACAATTACTCTCTCACTTGGTTCAAAGGCTCCTATACATTCACTTAACATCTCCCAAAATCTCTCTCTCTCCTCTGCATTCCTCTCTTCTCCAGGTGCATACACGCTTATTATGACCCACTTCTCGCATCCAACCTTTACTTTAATCCACATAATACTTGAATTTACACATTCATATTCTCTTTTCTCCTTCCATAACTGATCATTTAACATTACTGCTACCCTTCCTTTGCTCTAACTCTCTCAGATACTCCAGATTTAATCCCATTTATTTCCCCCCACTGAAACTCTCCTACCCCCTTCAGCTTTGTTTCGCTTAGGGCCAGGAACATCCAACTTCTTTTCATTCATAACATCAGCAATCATCTGTTTCTTGTCATCCGCACTACATCCACGCACATTTAAGCAACCAGTTTTATAAAGTTTTTCTTCTTCTCTTTTTTAGTAATGTATACAGGAGAAGGGTTACTAGCCCATTGCTCCCGGCATTTTAGTCGCCTCATACGACACGCATGGCTTACGGAGGAAAGATTCTTTTCCACTTCCCCATGGACAATAGAAGAAATAAAAAAGAACAAGAGCTATTTAGAAAAAGGAGAAAAACCTAGATGTATGTATATATATATATGCATGTGCGTGTCTGTGAAGTGTGACCAAAGTGTAAGTAGGAGTAGCAAGATATCCCTGTTATCTAGCGTGTTTATGAGACAGAAAAAGAAACCAGCAATCCTACCATCATGCAAAACAATTACAGGTTTTTGTTTCACAGTCATCTGGCAGGACGGTAGTACTTCCCTGGGTGGTTGCTGTCTACCAACCTACTACCTAAAAGTTGTGCAACTGTACTTATGTGTAATTGTACCTAAGTTAACTTACTATTATGCAGAAGGCTCACAGTGTAGAAATTAAAAGAGGGTGTAGGGTCATCAAGGGTATAATTCATAAGACTGAAGAGGGTTGCTCAGGTAGTTTGAGAATTTCGAGAGAATGAAGGGATGACAAAGTGCGTATAAATCTGAAGTGGAAGGTAGGAGGGGTAACTCATCCCAAGAATGACTGGAAGGTGGTGGTTAAAGTAGACTTCAAGATTTAGGGGCTAGAGTATCTAGCAGGCTTGTGTGAGCATGTTAAATAGTGAGTGCGAGTAAGGTAACATTAACCCTTTCAGGGTCCAAGGCCAAAATCGGAAGGGGTGCCCGTGTCCAAGAAATTAAAAAAAAAAAAAAAAAAAAAAATCTTACAGAACTAAAGATAATATTTTTGTGAAGATAATATAACAAAAAAAAAATTCTGATCAGTACTTACTGAGATACAGCGGCGGGGGAAGTTGACCCAAAATGACCGGGTAGCGGCAACATCAGCGACTTCCGCAAAATCGCATTTTTTTTATTTTACGTTTTTATACTTTCTTTTCTTTTCTAATTTTTTCTTTTTCTGTAAACATTTGTGACCTGTGAGACCAGTAAAATGTATATTGTATAAGTGTACACTCATTGTATTCAACATAATAAACTGCACTAATTTGTTTATCATTATACAGTGGACCCCCGCATACCGATGGCATCACATAGCGATTAATCCGCATACCGCTTGCTTTAATCGCCAAAATTTTGCCTCACATACCGCTTAAAAACCCGCTCACCAATTTTCGTCCGAGACGCGTCCAATGTGCGGCCTGAGCCACGCTCACATGTTCCGCCGGTGGCATTGTTTACCAGCCAGCCTCCGCGGTAACATCCAAGCATACAATCGGAATATTTCGTATTATTACAGTGTTTTCGGTGCTTTTTTCTGGAAAATAAGTGAGCATGGGCCCCAAGAAAGCTTCTAGTGCCAACCCTACAGCAATAAGGGTGAGAATTACAATAGAGATGAAGAAAAAGATCATTGATAAGTATGAAAGTGGAGTGCGTGTCTCCGAGCTGGCCAGGTTGTATAATAAACCCCAATCAACCATCGCTACTATTGGTGGTACAGCTGCTGCTGCTGCTGCTGCTGCACTGTCAGCTGCTGCTGCTGCTGCACTGTCAGCTGCTGCTGCTGCTGCACTGTCAGCTGCTGCTGCTGCTGTAGCATCGTCTGCTGCTGCTGTAACATCGTCTGTTGTTGCTGTAGCATCGTCTGTTGCTGCTGTACCACCGTCAGCTGCTGCTGCTGCTGTAGCATCGTCTGCTGCTGCTGTAACATCGTCTGTTGCTGCTGTAGCATCGTCTGCTGCTGCTGTAGCATCGTCTGTTGCTGCTGTACCACCGTCAGCTGCTGCTGCTGCTGTAGCACCGTTGTTGGTGTGGCTTATTGAGAATACCAAGAAACAATTAACCCCAGAGGATTTGCCACCCAGGATAACCCAAAAAAGTCAGTGTCATCGAAGACTGTCAAAACTTATTTCCATTGGGGTCCTTAATCTTGTCCCCCAGGATGCAACCCACACAAGTCGACTAACACCCAGGTGAACAGGGAAAAATGCCTGGAACTAGTGCTCATATTGGTGAATTTAAAGCCAGCAAAGGTTGGTTTGAGAGATTTAAGAATCGTAGTGGCATACACAGTGTGATAAGGCTGTTCTGGAAGAAAATGCAAACAGGACCTACAGTACTCAGGAGGAAAAGGCACTCCCAGGACACAGTGTCTCATCAGTCATTGCTGCATCTTCAATAAAGGTAAGTGTCATTTATTCTTCATTTAGTAGACTAGTACATGCACAATATATACTGTGCATGTACTACTCTACTATTGTGCATGTATCCTTCTCTTTGTGTGTGGGAAAATGTATATTTCATGTGGTAAAAAATTTTTTTTTCATACTTTTGGGTGTCTTGCACGGATTAATTTTATTTCCATTATTTCTTATGGGGAAAATTCATTCACATACCGATTATTTCGCATAACAATTACCCCTCTTGCACGGATTAAAATCGTTATGCGGGGGTCCACTGTATTGGTTACAAAACTTGTTTACAAGTTTATTGTAAACAAAATGATGAAAATATTAGTGCGGTTATTGTGTTGAATACAACGGTACCATATAGTACCATATGGTACAATGGTGCCATAGGGTGCAATGGTACCATATAGTGCAATTGTACATATGGTACAATGGTACCATATGGTGCAATGGTACCATATGGTGCAATGGTACCTTATGGTACCATATGATGCAATGGTACATTGTACCATACAGTACAATGATACCACATGGTTCACTGTACCATATAGTACTGTTGTATTCAACACAATAAACACTAATATTTTCATCATTATTTTGTTTACAATAATTATTTACAACAAAAATATGCAAAAATGATGTATATTAGTAATGTTCTATTATATATTTACATATGTACAGGAACTCGACATGTTCCTCAGGTGGATG